TGAGGAGCTTGACGAATCAGTCTATAGAGATGGCATTAATAGACTGGAACACCGCTATGAGAAATGTATCAGCCTTGGAGGAGATTATGTTGAGAAATAAAAAAAAAAAATTTTTAAAAACCTTGTTTTTCTTGGTCAGGCCGGAAACTTATCAATCCACCCTCGTATATCACCGATGGTATGTCATTGGGCAGAACAGGCCAGTTCCTATAAACCTAATCTGATCCAGTTAATATACGGCTTTGTCCGAAATGTGTGGACATTTTGCATTGCTTGTATTTGTGCGTGAGTGCATGTATGCTCGCGTGTGTATAGTTACGAATAGTTCGATTGTTGAAACCGTTACACACAAAGCGAAACAATGGATCCAAACATGCAATTGTTATACCATTGTTGCCATTGTAGATGTACGCATACACTTGAGCATTGTGCACAATAAATGCCTCGTAATGACGCCCGCATACAAGAGAATATTTGTGATAATAATAGTGTTGTCACGCCCTAATGGACATTCGCAACGTTTAGTTGACAAACCCAATTCGATTACCAGTTAAATGTATTAATGATGTGCGATATGCGTTTCCAGTGTATGCAGCCATGTGTTAGTTTGCACACATACATAATACATATAATATACCTATCTCATACATGCATTCACAGCACATTAATTGTAATGTACCATGCAACATATGATTTACACAAGATAACAGTAACTAATTAATTAACCATTCGTATGTATGCTGTACATCCAATCATATCTATAGGTACATCCATTGCCTAGGTTAATATAGGAGAATAGTGTTCATATCGTCATCATCATCATCATCATGTATGAGACGGTGTGTCCTACCAACCTATATTCTGCTTATTTCTTATTGACTTACTCAACATCCTCTGTTCTCCTACTCTTTGTAATGCCTTCAATTTTTTTAACCTTTTCTTTCCACGGTATTTATATCCAAACTAGCTTTTCCCCGCGGCTTCGTTCGCAGAAATTAGTATTGTTTCTCCATAAAACCTTTTAACTCCCAATTCACCCTTACAACGTTTTAATTTTATGTAATGTCGCCATCTTAGATTTCAAATACAAACGTAGCAACAACTTATCATCCTTAAGAGTTGATTTTTAAAAATTGCCAAAACACGTATTTGCTTAATTTCAACAATGAGCAACCTTAAGTACAAATAAAATATACTACACGGAAACGTTGCAACCTCTTTTCATTTGAATAATAATATCAAATAGATGTACGAAGTTTCAAGTAAATTCAACCACAAATAAAGTATATCCCACACAAAAATTGCAATACCTACCCCTCCTTTGGAGATTGAATTTTTTAAAATCTCAAGATGGGTCTTACAGAAATTAAATGAGACTCCATTAAAACCAAGATTCAAGTAAATCTGACCACAAACAAAATATGTTCCATTTAAACTCTTCGCCGCTCATCCCACCCAACAGAGATTGAATTTTTTAACCATTTTCAAGTAAACATACAATCTTTGCAAACCCCTTCTAGCTTCCTGAAGAGGTAGAATTTTGTAAAATGTTGAAATACGTCTTTCTTTTATGTATGATACATATATAGATATACGCTTTTAATAATCTTTTTCCAATTTCCAAATTAACCGATCTCTAACCCAAAAGATTTTGTTAAAGCGACCGGATCGTGTGCTTTTTTTTTGTTTTTATCTATAACGCTTTGTTTGTTTGATTATTTTACTTTTTGTCTCCTATTTTTATTACATTAGTTCTAAGTTAGCTTTTACATCCCTGACGTACCAATGTAATTGTTTCAGTTTTATTCATACCATATACCTATGCATCTGTCAATAGTGCTTCCACTTTGTTTAAAACTACGTACATCAAAATTCTCTTTGCTAGACGCTAGAACTCCTGTATGTTTAAAATTGTATACTTACGTCGAACTTTCGAACTTTTATTTGTAACCCTCTCTGTAAATCGAATATGTAGATTTGGTGGCTTTCATGAGTCCCACTGTATATTTTACAATGACTCATTCTCTAAGTGGAACAGTTGGTTTAGAAACATTAAATGACTATTTCAACAATTTCAATGAAACCGAGAGCCATTCTAATGAATCATTTCTTAGGTAAACATAAAGACACAAAAATTACATCACACATTAACATAAATAAAAACACTTTCGGATTTCCTTAAGTTGAACAACGGCAGATAGCAAATGCCAATTCGAATTTGAGAATGGTGACTATGTACCTACAAAGCAGGCATCATAAATAGATGTGAAAAAAAAATAATGTAAAAAACTAAAATAATTTTTTTTATTAGCCATCGTGTTCAACGACTTTAAATTGTCGCCGTGACATTTGCTATGTACCATAGAACTCATGATGTTCATCATCGTTATGCCTATTATATTTTCCAGCCTGCGAAATAATTGTATAATAGAAATTTTTCAGTTGCATGTATGTATTAGTTAGTCGCGACGTAAAACTAAACTGGCTCGATGATCAGGACTACCCCTCTGAACATGACATTCGGTTGACCGGGATTCCCCTCATCCACACTTTCTTTTCGTTCGAGTCAGAAAAGTAAATCATCCTTCGCCTATTTTCAGTATAGAAAAAATATTGTCATATACATACGTACTCCTTTCACCAGTTTTAATAAAATAGTTCACTGTCATAGTCATAGGCATAGGAGCTCCACATTCCTAAAATAAGCAGGGCCTCTAATAGGTTAAAGACGTCTTTGTTTACGCGGTTGATCGTCACATTAACCAGAATCATTTTAAAAAGACCATCAGTTACGGATTCTGATAGATTCTTATTTCACATAATATCCAATAGTTTCGGTTACATACCATATAACATCCTTGCTTTTAATTTCGCAAAAAGGTGGCTGAATTTATATCTATTTATCAGCTTGCCAATATTTTGGCACTTTTGCAAATTCACTCTATAATATAATAGGGACAACAATTCGCAGCACAAGTGCCATAATTTTTCATAACCACAGCCGCGGAAATGGAAGATTTTCGTGTTTTTCACGGAAATACAAAACAACAATAGATAATAATGGGCATATTTACTTAACTGGAAAGTATCCAATTGTCCTGCATGTGGCGATGCAATTTCGGTAGCCACTCGGACATGACTTTTATTTTAATCACAATGAAACTACAAAACCTTTTACCGCATTAACAGCACACCTTCGTCAATGGCCCTGATTGTCCGAACAACAATTGAGATTAAAATCAGTGTTTAAACGGATAATGTGACGGTATAAAGAGTCGATGGTATTCTACATGTAACAACGATGGCAAAACCGTCTAGTAAAGCTTTTCAAAGTGAAACAATGTCCGAAAATAATCGTCACGTTAAACGACCTATGAACGCCTTTATGGTATGGTCCAGGATTAGAAGAAGGCATATTTCGGTTAATCATCCTCGACTTCACAATTCAGAGATATCGAAATTATTGGGAACAGAATGGAAATTGCTATCGGAAAGTGAAAAGAAACCGTTTATCGATGAAGCCAAGCGATTAAGAAATCAGCATATGATAGACAATCCGGAATATAAGTACAAGCCGAGAAGAAAAGCTAAATCGGAGAAATTTAAAATGGCTTCAAAGGGAGGATTCCCAGCAGCTCTTATGCATGGTTATGATCATATACAACAAGCTTTACATCAGGCGTTCTATGATAAAACTGTATATGAAATAGGTAAATAATGTTTTTTCTATTTTATGTACTTCTTCGCTGTTGTTTTACCGTTCACCTAAATTTTTGCTAACGTTCTTTCGTCTATTGTAATGTAGCAATTGTAGAAGCTAGAAAATTACGAAAAAGGATAAAAAATAATTACTTAAATGCTTAAGCTTTGAACTGAGACATCATTTCACCTGTTCTGTATATATGTTGCAATTGCAGATATTCAGTTAAAATATCTACAAGATATGACGAAAGATATATTTTGACTCTGTTGTTTGAAGCGTTACCACGTGGTTTTTAACAGTTGTAGTATTTATAATATTTATTTTCTATCAATGCATTCATCATCATCATCATTAAAGGGTCGTCAGTCCTAAGACTGGTTGGACACGTACCTCCACTCTTCTATCCACGTTATCCTCATCATTTACCCATAACACCACATTTCGAAGGCTTCTAACCTTTTCTTTTCCGCCGCGCCCACTGTCCATGTTTCACATACGTACAGCGCCGCGCTCCAAACATACACCTTTAAAAACCTTTTTCGAATTTCTAAATTAACCGTTCGCGAGCATAGAAGTGACTTCTTTTTATTAAAGGCGACACGACTCTGCGCTATCTTCTGCTTAATATCCCTACTACTCCTTCCGTCCTGACTTATCTGACTTCCTAGATATCAAAAATCAGCCACTTCTTCTAATATTTCGTCTCCTATCTTTATATTCGCTCTTTCCCTACTTTTTCTTCCCTTGCATACCAGTATTTTAGTTTTACTTTTATTTATTTTCATACAGTATTGATCTGTCAGTACCGCTTCCATTTTATTTAAAGCTATCTCTAGGTCCTCCTTGCTAGATGCTAATATCATCTCCAAAAACTAAGCATACTAATCTTTTGCCCTTGCACATCTATCCCTACAGTTGTACTGTCTTTAATGATGTTAATCGCGTCTTCGATGTATAGATTAAAAAGTAGCGGTGACAGTGTGCATCCCTGTCTGACTCCCTTCCTAATATTTACTGTCAATGCATTGTGGTTGTTTAATTAATTCTACCTATAATACAACAGATGGAGTAATTTTAGCTGTCTCCGTTTTATTATTTCAATAGTTATGACTTTATCGACCACTTTTGCAATAAGCTAAACTTATTATACTCTTGGAGTCCCAATCTTGTGTATTTTCTGCAATTTACCATATTCTTCCAAATCAATAATAAGAAACTTAAAATACGATATTAAAGCCTCATCTATAAGATTATCGCCTTGAAGAGGCACATTATAATGAAGAAGCTTCATGAGTTCATCTAATAAATATAGCTCTCTGAATTATTTACCAAGTTCTTCAGGACGGAGCGGAGGTCCGATGACAAATAAAAATGCATCATGATTAAGCTATGATAACGAATAGAGTTTTAATCAATTTACTAATGTTAAATCTATTAGTTACTTACAAAATCGAAAACAAGGATATAAAGGCCTTAACCTTGGTTTAGTATCGCCTATAAAGAGAAAGTAGAAACAAACTTATCTTTTAAAACGTTAAGTGATGTACATTTTAACCATCCCTAATAATTGAAAATTTTCAGATAAAAAGCCACCTATGATACCATCAGTTTCAACATATAATCTTACAAGGGCAAATGATCCAGAACATGACGTATCTCTAAAATATCCTCGCATACCTTATCCACCGCAATTTTTATTAAAAGATCGAGAAACTGTACAAACGGTCATAAACTATAAAAATAGTAAACCGTCAATAGGTCTGCCGCTACTTCCTAGTAACAATTTGAGAACGATTGAACAGGATACTATATTACCACCATTGATTGATTACTGCACTAGATCACTGGGCGAATTAAACAAGAGTACTCTACCGTCTTACTCAACATTAGCACGCAGTATTCATCAACAAGATTATTCCTTGTCAAATTTTCACATAATTACACCACCACCGGTAGAAAGACATAATGTAATGGATATTTCTAATCGATTTACATAATTATAGTGTAAAATAAGCAAGCTTCACAAATGTATTACAAGTATTACAATATTTAAAATAAACATGTAAATTATTTAATTTATTGTATGATATCCATATGAGACATTTAAATAAAACCGAATCGGGTGTCGATTCTACAGATAAAATAAAAACCTTACAACCCTTATTGTCTTTGATTCTTTTCGCGTTTCCAAACTAAGGGGATGAAATAGAGAATGCATACTGTTATTAGTTATTACTACTCATACTTATTTTCCAAATTATGTCTGGGAAGTCGATAAATTTCAGTAGTTACTCTATTCAGAGTGGGTGGGTAAAAGTTGAATTTATTGTGTGCAAAAGAAATTTTGAGCCCTTTTCCATAAAATTGAAAATTTGAATTGCTCACGTCTAAGTCTTTTGGCATTGTAAGTGCATTTGGAAATTTTTGGATTTTGAAGTTTTCTTTGATTATTTCGATTCGTAGCATTTCCTGATTGGTGTGATAAGAGTTTAATAAATTCGTCATAAGTTATACTTATATTGGCTTCAATATTGAGAACAGTATTTCTAGAGAGAGCGTCGACATTATTCTTCCAGGTTTGTATCGAATATCATAATGTTATTTTTCTAATTACTAATAAACAATATAAGTTCCGTTTACCATATTAGGTCAGTCTTCAAGCCCAAATGACACACAATCAATTGGTGTCAATTAAATTATCATATCTTCAGTAGTTTTTGAAGAAATTTTCCTTTTTTTTAACAGAACTAATAAACGCACAATTTTGATATTTATATATTTACAATCCAAAAATGACCCACAATTTATTGATAAAGTTTGAAACAGTGGATTATTTATATCAGGTGCGAAACATTGACGGTGGGCGCGGCGGAAAAGAAAATGTTAGAAACGTTCGAAATATGGTGTTACAGACGAATGATAGTGAAGGATACCGTGGATAGAGAAGGTTAGAAATGAAAAGGTATTAGAAAAATAGGAGAACAGAAAAGAATAAAAAATAGGTGAGATAGGCTCGTAAGACACCTTCTGAGGCATGAAGGTCTAGTCAGAGACATATTAGAGGCAGAAACAGGAATTAAGTGCAGTAGAGATAGACCTAAATTAGACGAATGATGAGGATAGCGTGGATAGAGAAGGCTAAAAATGAAGAGGTATTAGAAAGAATAGGAGAACAGAGAACTCTATGAAAGTCAATCAAAAATAGGTGAGATAGGTTTGTAGGACATCTTCTCAGGCATGAAGGTCTTGTCAGAGACATATTAGAGGCAGAAACAGGAGTTAAAAGGAGTAGAGGTAGACCTAGATTAGATTACTGTTCGCGAATAGTTAAGGATGTGGGATGTTCTAGTTCTTGAGAAATGCGAAGATTAGCTCAGGATAGGAAGGAGTGGATGTGAGTGTCCAACCAGTCTTAAGACTGACGACCTTATGATGATGATGATGATGATGTCAGATTCACACGACTGTTCATTTTTGCTTCACTTACTTACATAGATATCTAAAATCATTTTAGTTAACTGTAATTTGTTTTAAATGAATATTAACATCGTTTATTGCAGTAATCCGATTATAATAATGGTAATGGAAGTAGGTATACAAGGCAATAAGGAGGATCGGTGGAAATAGCATTAGATGGTGTATGTACGTAGGTACCAGTAGTAGAAGAGTAGCTATTTGTCTGTATACCTACCTACAGATTACATTATTATCCGTTGAGGTGTGAGGACTACGGCGAATTTCACACTGGCTTCACCGACTAATTACCAATTTAGAGAATAGAGCGTTAGGTTCCCACCGACTACGTCGCAGGTGCATGCATCTCACGGTGAATGGTTGCCATTCATTTTGGCAGAATCCGGTATTGTTCGCGACACTTGTTCTCCCGTTATTAACTTGCGAAATTTTGTTCCGTTCAGGCGAACAACGATCGAACTTATGTGCGTATATATACATACATACCTACTCGATCGCTGTTACCATACTTCCATAATAATACATAGGTACGAGGTCTGTTCTAAAAGTATCGCGAATTTTATGTTTTTTCAAAAATTATTTACTTATTTATGAATATCTATTTTGTCCCCTTCAAAGTAATCCCCACCAGATATTATACACCTGTGCCAATGTGTTTTCCAATCCTTGAAGCACTTCAAAAAAATCATTCTTGTTCAACTCCTCCTTCGATGCCGTCTTTATTTCCTCTTCAGTTTCGGGGACAATAAAAAGTCACGGGGGGGCAGATTTGAAAAATACGGTGGCTGCGACATTATTAGTGTGTTGTTTTTGGCCAAAAATTCGCACGCAAGCAACGATGTGTGAGCAGGGCCGTTAATCATGGTTCAAAAGCCAATTTTCGTTCTTCCACAAATCCCGGCGTTTCTGGCGGATTGCTTCGCGCAAATTGCGGACAATTTGCAGGTAATATTCCTTATTGACCGTTCTACCCTGTGGCAAGAACTCGTGACACACCACGCCCCGAAGAAATCGAAGAAAACTGTAAGCAAAACCTTCACATTCCACTTAACTTGGCACACTTTTTTATTACTCTCTGGAGCAAATTTGGATTGTCGTGGACAGAGTCCATCAGCCTCGTTAGCAAATGATATTGTATTGCTATTTTTGGTCGAAATTGAGCAATTTTTGTAAGAATTTCGCGACGACCCGTCTCATGACCAAATCATTGGTAAAAATCGAATGGTAGGAGCCAATCGAAATTTTTAGGCCCTCAGCAACTTCTCTAACGGTGATTCGACGATTGGCCAATACTATTTTCTTCACTTCAACAATGTTTTAGTCTGATGTTGACGTGCTCGGGCGTCTAGCACGCTCTTCGTTTTTTACATCTTCTCGGCCCTCTGAGAACATTTTGTACCACCGATAACGTTGTTTCAGTCCAAGATAACTTCACCATATGCCGCAGTCAACATTCGGAATGTGTTCGCGCACCTAATTTTGTTTTTCACACAAAATTCGATACAGATTTCTTGATCAATTATTTGGAATAGGCAAAAATCGAAGATGAGCCAAAACATGTGCAAACAAAGCACCTGTCAAAAATTTACTGAACATTCAACATGTCCGAAATTGTCTATATAAGTGAGAGACATGAGTACCAACATAACACCACAAAAAAATAGAAAAACAAATATACGCAACCCGCAGAAATTCAAAATTCGCGATAGTTTTTGAAGAGGCCTCGTAGAACCACGCTAGATCTTTACGAAAAATGGCTCCTCTGTCAAATCTCAACATGTACATCAAAAGTCTTTTCCCATAAGTATCTACACTATGTGACGTTGAGATGTACTACACTTTTGCAGAGTACATTATCTTCCCTGGTCCGAAATCGTGACACCTCCATAATATAATATGCAATACACATGGGTATAATACATCAGCATATGTACATATGTACGTACACTTGAACGAATTCAATACGTATAATAGGTATAATTGTACCTTGAAAGTCCACGGAAGAATGCATCTCTAAGGGACTATATCTTAAAAAGAAATTTTTTTTGCATTTTTTAATCTACACGTCTAGAATTCCCAAAATCCGAAGTTTCAAATAGAGTTTGACAGAGGGCCACTTTTAGTAAGGATCTAGCTGAGTCCTTTGCAGGACTAGCGCTCATCACCTTTCAACAGGGAAAAGTTCGTGGCGGGTTGCTAATTTAAGTACGAACACGACATTTGTACGTTTACGTTACTGTTTCGTAATTGCGAGAATACTTATTAGTAGAGTTACGTTTAACTCGAAGTATTCATATTGTTCCACACATTTCCTGAGAGATATTCAAAGGCATTCTGTATCTAAGTTTTAGTCGTTTTCACTTTTTTGGAATTATTCTCTTAGTTCTGAAGGCACAAATTGCCATTGGTTCATACCATAAAATGACGGCAGCATGCACCACATCATACCATCAAGTCTCAACAACAAGTGTGCAAAAATGCATCAATTCCTATTTTGCATAATTGGATTATTTAATATACCTGTCTTCGTTCAGTTCATTAATAAAACAGTAACTTACACTATCGAAAAATACAAAATATCAATTTTTTTTAATGTAATCCGAACTAGATGGTACTTCACATTGTCAGGTTTAAATATTTCAATGGGTATTTGTTTAGGTACTCATAAGTAAATGGAACTATTTCAAATCTGCTGGCACCTCCTCCGTCCCTCCCTCAAAATTTGCCGTTTTAACCAAATTGGTTACTTTCCCGTTTCATCCACGTGTTTCTAAATAAGTACATATTGCACTCGAGGTAGAGTCCCCCAAGGAAGTCTTACTTCAGTAATCGTGCTTTCAAGATATGGGTGATTCACAATCCTTTCTGAATATGTACATTTAGGGGAGAAAATGATGAATCTGTATGAAAATGTGTAGGTGTAGATTTCCATTAGCAAAAGATGATTCTCAAACCATCACCATTACCTAAATGTCGTCGTCTTTAGAGGAGTGGAGGTGACAATCATTCATCACAATTCTGGATTATACGTTCTGAGTCCTGTGACGCCCGAAGAATGCCCGTTTCAAGAGTTAAAGGATTCATTTCAACGATGCAACCGAACTCGCCCAATCGTTACTGATGTTATCATGAAGGTGTTTTACTTCAAAATATTAAAGTTTTCTAACTATCTATTACTGTTACGTTCAGTCTTGCCAAGTACCAATCAATCGGCATCGGAGTCGGTTCAAGTAAAACTGAAAATATTTTATGATAATGCACAAAGAAGTGGTTCGACAGGGAGTAATCAATCACAATTTACAGATAAAACTAGAAAATTAGTGAACAGTTTCATATCTTCATTCTCTAGCAAACACTTCTGTTAGGTTACTCTACTATAGAAAATACTACAAATGGCGCAGTAAACGCCATCTGTAGCGCGATGCTACATTTTAGGATTACGTATGCTCCCAGTTTCGACAGAATACAGACCACTTCGAATTATTTTACTCTACTATAAATACTTCTTCAGGGGATCTCTGATCTGCACCTTATTAATGAATCAAATAGCACCAAAGGAACGTCAAGCACG